ATGGCAATTCTACTCCTAGATACATACCCAAGAGAACTGAAAACCCATATTCTTAGAAACTTGAATGTGAAAATTCATGGCACCATTATTTACAATAGCACCAAAGTGGAAACATTCCAGACGTCCATCAACTGACGACAAACAAGTATGATATAGTCTATCCACACAATGGATTATTATTCAGTCATGAAAACTAATGAGGATCTGAAACAGGGTTCAACATGGACAGCTAAACCCTGAAAGCTTTGTGCTAAGTAAAAGAAGCCTGTCACCCAAGATTACATGTTGCATGATTCCATTTGAATGAAATGTCCAGAACAGACAAACACAGTCAGAAAGTGGTTTAGCGGTTGCCAGGAGCTGGAGGGATATGGGAGCAGGAAGTGATTTCCAACAGTTATGAGATTACATTTGAGGCAAATGAAATGTTCAGGAATTAGATTATGGTGATACTTGCTCAATATCACAAATATACTAAGAAAAAAAGAAAAGAAAACCCTTGAATGCACTTTAAAATGGTGAACTGTATAGTCTGTGAATTAAATTAAATTTAAAAACGCCCAAGTGTCTGAGGATATAGTCAGTGGTAGACCATTTGCCTAACATGCGTAAGTCCTTTGGGTTCAACCCCCAGTATCACACACACACACAAAAAGCCAAGTAAAGATTAGAACTGACACAGTGGAAACCCCAGCCTCATGTGTGTGGGCACAGTGGAGAGAGCAGTGCCTGGTACAAGTTAAAGTTCAGACACAGCAGCTGTGTTCCAGATCACATCAACATGGACCCTGGCTTTCTGCCCAAAATAGCAGGATGGGGAACGAGACTGGACAGGAGAGGCTGGTGTTGGTTCTTGAGCAGCAGCCCAGCTGGGCCACAGTGTCACCGCAGAGCTCCGTGAGGGCATGCTGCCTCCCTTCCAGCTTGCCAAGAGCTGTCTCCATGGTAACCACATCAGCTCAGGCCTGGGGCTCCCGTTCCCTGTTGGGTGACAGCATCACCTCAGCAACCTGTCAGGATAGCAAAGGCAGATCTCCATGATAGGATTGCAGCTCTGGCAGAAGAACTGCTGAAGGACCCTGGTTTCCAAGGAAACCATGTCAGGAAAGAGAGGGAGGAGGAGAGGACAAACAGTGAATAAACACAGGCTCCAGCCTCCTGCACATGATTCTAAGACGCCATGGCTGTATCAGAAGGGTTAGACTAGCCGCCTTCACATCTAAAGGAGAGTGAACCAGGGTTTCTTCAGCATCTGCTCAGTGCCAGGCTCCAACAGGGCTCTTACAGTTAAAATTTTAAATTCCAATGCCAAGTACATTTCCTTCTTCCCTTTTCTTTTCTTTTTTTGTACCAGGGATCAAAACCATGACTTCATGTTTGCCAAGCAGGCATTTACACCTCTGAGCTAAAGCCCAGCCCTTTTTTTTTTTTCTGAGACAGGGTCTCACCATATAGTCCAGACTGGCCTTGAACTCACTTCTGAAGCCCACCTGGCCTTGAACTCATGATGATCCTCCTGCCTCCAGCTCCCTCATGGTGGGATTACACCACCACATCTGGCCTTCCTTCTTTTCAGTACTGGGGATCGAACCCAGGACCCAACTCTCTTTTATGTCAAGATCCGGTCTCCTAAGTCACTTAATTGCCCATCCTGGGTTTGAACTTTTAATCCTCCTGCCACAGCCTCTCAGAGTGCTGGAATCACAGGCATGCACCACTATGCTCATCTTTTCTGTTTTTGAAATGAAGTTTGCTGCCCAGGCTGGCCTTGAGTTCCTGGGCTCAAGCAATCCTCTTATTTTAGTCTTCCCAGTAGATTGGATGAGAGGCACACTATGCTTGCCTAAGTATCATCTTCTTATTAAAAAAAACTTCTAACCTGGTCTGGGGTGTAGCTCCATGACTAAGCATACCCAAAGATCCTAGATTCAATTCCTAGTACTACAAAAAGTGAAAAACAGAATTAGGGCGTGGTGGCTCATGCCTGTAATCCCAGCACTCGGGAGGCTGAGGTGGCAGGATTGTTGCGAGTTCGAGACCAGCCTAGACTACAAAGTGAGCTCAGGGCCAGCCTGAACTGCATAGCAAGACCCCGTCTCAAAAAAGAGAAGAAAAAAAAAAAACAAACAAACCAGAATTAATGGACTAAGAAGAAGCAAAAGCTGCCAGATGTGGTGGTGCATGCCATGTAAGCTCAGCACTGGGGAGGCTGAGGTAGTGGGATTGCTGAGAGTTAGAGACCAACATGGGCTACATAGTGAGTTCAAAGCCAGCTGAACAACATAGCAAGACCCTGTCTAAAAAAAACAAAACAGGGACTAGGAATTTAGCTCAGCAGCAAAAGCGCCTGCCTTGCAAGCAGGCAGTCATGAGTTCGATCCCCAGTATCGATAAAAAAGAAAAAGACAAAAAAAAAAAAAAAAAAAAAACTGAAGTCATTTTCTCTTTTCCTCTATCAATTTTAATTCCTCAACCAGACTTCTGCTGTGCATTCACACGCAAACACACATGACTCAAAACCATTCTGCACATATGGCTTTTCAAAATAACCAGTAAGGGGGCTGGAGATTTAGCTCGGTGGCATAAGCACCTGCCTTGCAAGCAGGCAGTCGTCAGTTCGATCCCCAGTACCGATAAAAAGGAAAAAGACCAAAACAAAACAAAACAAAATAACCAGTAAAATAATAACATAGTGAGTACAGTTCCGTAACTTCCTTCTCTTAATAATGTTCCTCAGGGGCTGGAGATACAACTCAGTGGCAAAACACCTGCCTGGCAAGCATGAGGTCCTGAGTTCAATTCCCAGTACCAAAAAATAAAAATAAAAATAAGTAGTAATGTTCAGAACGTATTTTCTTTTTTAACATGGAACAGAATATATAATACAATATAAATTTTACCATTGTAGCCATTTTTTCTTTTGGTAATTTGTTACATCAAATTTAACAACTTTAACCTTCTTGGTTGTTATTGCTGTTTTTAGTTCTGGAGATTGAACCCAGGGTCCTGCATACATTAAGTACATGCTTTTGCATCCCCAGACTGAACCATTTTTAAGTATCTAGCTTACTGGCCATAAGTACACTCACACTTTGCAACCATAACCACTATCTGTCTCCAAAAACTTTTTATTTTATAACTCCAAATTGAAAGAAAGTCCTCACTCCCTGCAGCCCTGAAAGTCTCTATTTTATTTGTCTGTACAAATTTAACTACTCTACTTACCTCCTAGAGGTGGAGTCAGTATTTGTACTTTTCTGCCTAGTTTATTTCACTTAGCCTAATGTTTTCAAGTCTTATCCATACTTCTTTCATTCTTCAAAGTAATCAATCGTCCACTGTAGGCAAAACCACACTTCGTTTATTCATCCAGCTGCTGATGGACATTGGGTTGCTTCTCTCTTTCGGTATTCTGAATAATGCTACTACGGATAGGGGTACAGCTGTCTCTTCAAGTCTTTGCTTTCAATTTAGGCTAAAAACCTAGAACTAGAACTCTATGTTTAATTTTATGGCTAATTTTATGTTGAATTTTTGAGGCACTGCCATACTACTTCATTCTTTTTAACTTTTCCTTTTGTGTGCAGGAGACTGAACCTCGGGACTAAAAACACGCTCTAGTTGGGCAAGTATAGTCTCAGACGGTCAGAAGGCTGAAGCAGGAGGCCACCTGAACCCTGCCAAGGCCAGCGGACATAAAGACACTGGCAAAAGCAAAATAGAACAAAAACTGAAAGCCTCATAAGCAAGCTCTGTACCACCGGGCTGTACCCCCAGCCTCTCTGATTATGCAATCTTATTAAAGATCCAAACAGCTTCACAAGTTGAGTACTATTATTATCCTGACATCACAGAGGACGAAAGACTTGAGGAGGAAAAGCAGCTTCAGCTCCACTAAGGAAAGCTGTGTAAATTCACCAAGCTATTCTTCTCTGGGTCTCAGTTTCCCCACCCATACAAGAGGAACAGGCTAAAAGAAAAAAAGAGGAACAGGCTGAACCCCAAGGTACTTTCTAAAACTGTCTTCCAGGAAGGAGAGTTGAAGGGAGGAGAGGGGAATAGGAAGAAAAGAATGAAGACATATTATATTCCCTATGATGAATGTGATCAATATGTATAACAATTATGTACTAATAAAAAATGCTAAAAAGTAAAATAAAAATAGAACTGTTCCCCTTTTCACCATCAAGGGTGGCAGCAATACTGTCTGTTTGAAGGAGGGCAGGAGACACTGGCACCAACACACCCAGTGGGAAGGGCAGTGAGGCCTGCTCTGTTCTCAGAGCTTTGCACCCCTGTCTTGGGCTGCTGTCATATGTGCCCTCAACAAACCTACCGTACTGAGTGTGCCCCAGAAGAATGTACAAGCCTAGAATACCCCTAAGCAGCCAATCAGCCTAGCTGAGCTGTGCCTCTGGGGCACAGATCCTGGACTCCAGGCTTTAAAGGGCACTCTGGACTTGAGGACAAGCCTCCCTCTCTCAGGAGCTATTGAAGATGACCCAGCAAGCATGATGTAGACATCACACAGTAGAGGACAGGGTATGCCAGGAGGAGGATCTGGTGTGAGCAAGGATGGTGCCTGAGGTCGCATTCAGGAAGCATCTGGTACCCAGAAGCATGCCAGAAACCCAGGTCCAGCACTCATCCCACAGCCAGTGGCAGTGCCTGAAAGTTTCAAGGGTTTCTCCACACTATCCCAGTTGGCTCTCACAATGACTAGGGCACTACTGCCCATTTCACAGGTTAGGAAACTGAGGCACAAAGGAAAGAACCTTATGCAGGGCACTGTTTCATGTGTTTTCCGCAAATCCTCCAGAGGCTGAGGTTCTTTGATGGGTGACTGACTCATGCTTATTTAGCTCCTTGAGGACAGGACTAGGTGCATTTCGTTCACTGCTGGATCCTTACTGACCAGTAGAGTATACACACCAGGTGCTCAGGAAATGCACGCCGGAGGAAGGACGGGATGAACAGCCTGCTGCCGGGCACACTCTCACCTCTCTCGGCCGTTCTAGCTCTGTCTGCAGCACCTGCTTGGCCAGCTCGGTCTCGATGAGCCGCTGCCGAAGCTCCTCGTTCTCTTCTTCTAGTCGTGCCCGCTTCTTCTCCACCACCTCGAGCTCCTTGTGCAGCCGCATGGAGATGTCCTTGGAGACCTGGGCCGGGGTGAGGGTGAGGAGGGTGTGAACGGGCCGGAGGGAACCAGCTCAGATGACAACCCCACATAGCAATCGCACTGACTGTCCCTGCAGAGCAGGGAGGCAGTTCCTAGGGCTTCTCCACACTTCCCAATTGGCCCCACAATAACTAGGAGGCTTAGGAGGCAGGCAGGCTATTTTACCACACCTGTTAGTAAATGAGGAAACTGACACACAGAGGGACTCCCAAACTCACCAAGAGTCATGCTTCTAGGAGGCCACACACCTAAAACCCAAATTCAGGCACTGCATGCTCCCAAAAGCTATAATGGTCCTGTCTGTTCTTAGGAAGAGCTGCTTATTTGCTTGGGGCTTTTAATGCTTCCTAGGACCTGGCCTAGCCACTCCTGGGTCCATCCTCACAAGAGCCTATCATGGGGCCGGAGTGCATCTTCAGGAAGGGCATGAGCTGAGGAAGCCCAGACAGAGCAAGATGGGTGGTGCACAACCCAGGGCGAGTCACTTCCCAGCTCTGAGACTCTGGTCCCTCAGTTGGGAATGAGCACAGCAGTAACAGGACCGACAGGAGGCTCGAATCATGTGTGCACATGAAGCCTCGGCTTGGTGCCTGCCACACTTAGTGCCACGTGAGCAAGGGCTGCCACTCCGAAAAGCTGATGTCCAGAGAGGGGCATTGACTTGCTGGAGGTCACAGTGACCCTGAGGCCTGTTTCCAACTGTCTGGGATGTAGAACATGCCCGAAATGACAAAAGTTGGGCAGGTGTCCAAGCCATCCCTCTTGACAGAGCTGACAGAGCTCAGTCCCAGTATTAGCTCCACGCCTCTGCAGCAAAAGCACCCAATTCCAGGAAGACGCCCTCTTTCCTGTCGCCTGCTGGCTGGGTGTGATAGGCCAGGGAGGTGATCAAGGGGAAGAACAAAGACTTTTGAGTTGTAAAATTTCAACCAGTCTTCATTGCTAGGCAGCTATTTGTTAGATAACCTACAGGTTCCTGTTCCCATTTTACTGACAGGGAAACTGAGGCTCAGGATAGAAGTAACTTGCTCAGGGTCAGACATAGCAAGTGGGAGCTGAGCTTAGGAGTTTGGCTGAGGAGTGAGTCAGCATAACTGGGGCTCCTCCAGGGGCATTAAGGCTTGGGCAACAGGACTCACGTATGGGGCAAACAGCCCAGCACCCTATGCCTGCCAGTATCGGAAATGACTGTGGTACCTCCTCTCTGCCAGAAGGGAAGAGGGCCCTCCCCAGCTCTGCCTTCTGCCTAGGCCCAAACCCAGCACAGCACAGACCCCTTGGCAGTGTGCAAGGCAGGCCAGGAAAAACAGCAACCAGAAAGGAAACCAGCCACTACTCCTCCCCCCACCCCACTGCCCAGTGTCCCCTCTGTCCCCAAAGATCATCTTGGGCTTCTGGCCCAGGAGCTCCTTCACAGCATCTCTGGGTCATCAAACCTTCCTCATCCTAAAGTGGGGTTAACAATCCATCAGTGTTGGAACAGGGATTTGCAAAGGGAAAACCAGATTTAAGCCTGGATGCATTAACAGTGGGCTGTGTGACCTGAGACAAATGTTTAATATCTGAGGTCAGTCTGGCCAGTGGTGAAAGGAGATAGGATGCCGTGATGATAATGCTTAGGTGGGCAGCTGGAATACAGGATGCACTCAAAAATATAAGTTTTTTTTTTTTAAATAATTAATGTTTTTCAATGAATTATAAAAGTTGAGTTAATTTCAGTTTCATGAACTTGGCTGACTCATTTTTGATTATGTGAAATACTTAGGAACTATGCAGAGTGGCTGAAAGGCCACAAGTTCAAGGTGGCATGAATACCAGGATTTTTAATGAGCTGCCAAGATTACTGCTTTGGCTGGGTGCCATGGTGGATGCCTGTAACTATTCAAGAGGGGGCAGGAGGATCATGAGCTCAAGGCCAGGTCTGGGCAATGTAGTAAGACTCCACCTTCAAAAAATTACTGGCTTAGCTATGTGTTCATTTTATCCACCTTACCCCAAGTCTAGGACTTATGCTAGACATGCTCAACCCTACACTCCTGGCTATAACCCCCAGTTCAAGGCTATTAGGTCACCTAGGAAGCCTCTGTCCCGATCCCATTTCATTCACTCATTCGTCTTTGGCAGCAGGGACAGAAATGATGAGGGAAAGAAATCAAGGCTCCAAACCATGCATGGAAGTGCCCACTCATATCTCGGTGTTCCAATAAATGCTCACTGGATAAACAAACAAGTCTCAGCTCCAACAAAGGAAAGCGAAGGAACGGGAGTGACTCAATGCAGATGGGGAGCAGCCCTTGCCCTCCACTGTCCTCTCCCAAACTCGCTCCCACCAGGACTGGCTCCGCCCTACCAAGGGCACTACCCCACCTCCACCACTGTCACCACTTGGGGAGGCTACCAGGTCCCCACCAAGAAATAATGATCCAAGTAAACTCCTTCGTGCCCTTTCCATAGAATTGTGTCACCTTGTGCCCCACATCCCCAGGGCTATGCAGTCAAGAAAGGCCGCCTGGGCAGCTTCTAGAATTCCCACTTGGACAAGAGTCCATGGCACCAAGCCCTATAGTGCCATGTCCCCCATGGAAGCCAACGGGAGCAAAGAGCACCCCTGCTGCCAAACCGGGGAGCAGGAAGCAGTAGCCTGGGCTGTTCTTTCCCCTCCCCAATCCTCAGTGGTCCTGGATCCTGAACCTTCCAAGGTGATGTACACAAGAACCAGCTAGCATTTCCCATGTGCTCTTTCATTGTCAATAAACCTCTTTCATTGTCAATAAACCACCTCAAGCACTTTGATTATTATCTCCATGCTGAGGCGCAGAAAGGAAAGGTCATTTGACCAAGGTCACATAGTTAGGAAACTACCAAACCAACATTTAAAATCCAGTGGGTCATCTATAAAATCTTGCTCTCAATCTGAGCCTGCTACAGGAACAAAGCTAGAAGACACATCAGATTACTATAAAAATTCTAATAAGTACCAAGAGTGGGTTTATTATGTCAAGTACGTGAAGGGCCCTAGGCATTTGTCTCCTTTGACTCTCTCAGCTACCCCCCAAAGTAGCAGTCCTGAGATACCAGGGGAGGGGAGGCAGCTGCAGCTTCCGGAAACCAGGGCAAATCCCCAAAGCACAAACAAATGCGCTCAGCCATGAGGTCACTGTTTACAGTGCCCAGTCCAGCTTCTGCCAAACACTACCTACTGGTCCCCAGGTCCTGAGCACACTGACTCCTGGTCCTCAGGTTTCAAGATGTTCCCCACTCTGACCCTTAAGGAGAGGGATGGGAACTACTGCTATGGAACATCCCCTGGGCAGCCAGCATTCTGGGCTGTGTGTCACTGAATTGTCCCCAAAACCCCAGGAAAGTGAGAATGTGATCTCATTTTATAGATGAACACTGAGGTGCAAAGAAGTGGCTGGCAGCCTGCATGGGTCACCCAGGAATTAAATCCAAAGCTAGAACATATTCTCCAACGCTGGTATCCTAGAAAGGAAACATGATACTGACAGGGAGCCTCCCTGACCAGGGCCATCTAATCCTTGCAGGAGATGCCAGGGAAGTCAGCGTTCCAAGGACTTCTAAAAAGGCCCTGGAACATCCTGAATCCTGGGAGAAGGGTGGGGGCCAGAGGTGGCCAGTTCAGGCAGAGGCCAGAGGATGAGCTCAACGCTGCAGCTGCAGGGTGGGCAGAGGGAGGAGGGGAGGGGGAAAGGCTGATGCTGATTGGCTAGTTCAAATTTCAACAGAAGGGGCCGCCCCTCCGCCCCACTCCAGAGAACCACTCCCTTACACACACACACACACACACACACACACACACAGACACCCCACCACTCACCAGCTGCTCTCGCCCCGCCCCTCAGGAAGGCTGAGCCAGCCACAGCAAGGGCTTCAGCCTGTCCTCCACCCCTCTTCTCCATCTCTCTTCAGTCTGACTTTGTGTGTCCCTCCTAGAACTCCTCAGCAACCCAGGCCCACACTTTGTCTGAGTTCAGCTCAACTGTGACCCCACCAACCCATTCTCCCCTCAACCACCCTCTCCCCTGACTTCGCTACTACTCTTCCTGCCCAGCCCTGTGCTTGGATTTTTTTTTCCCAGATAGCATGTCTGTTGCCAAGGCTGGCCTTGAATTCTTGGGCTCAACGGATGCCACAGCCACAGAGCCCAGAAGTGCTTGGAACCTAAGCATTTTAACAGTCAGCTACCCTGGGAGCTGCCCTGCCCTGGCAGAGAGAGGTGCTGTTTGGCCTTGGAGCCTTGTCCTTTCTGTGGTCAGTTTCCTCCTGTGTGACCCCACCGTGCACAGTCAAGACAACAGAGGGTGCAAACCCTGAATGGGGTAGGCCCTTGGCTCTGCCCCGTCAGGAACTAGCTCTCATGGCCCTTAAATAACATATTCTACTTCTGGACCTCAAATTTGCCAGTGCTTTCTAGCATGAGATGGGGGGTGGGGTCCGTCTGCTCGGAATCTGTGTGTGTGCTAATTCCCCACCTAACCGCCCTGCTGCTCCCTCACGGAGGCCATCTCTCTGGAGCTTCTCTCCATTCCCCCAGCACATACCCACTTTTCCCAGGCCTGAGCTTAGAAGTCATCCTTGCAAGATTTCTTAGACCTCCAGGTTTTGCCAGGGGCCCCTAGCCACAGCCCCTAAAACCCTCACTGGGCTGAGTTCTGAAAGAAGCAGGGTGGGCTGGGGTCCCCAAGTTCCCAGCCTCCAGATCGAGGCTTTCATACACAGGCAGGGTGAGCTTCACACCTGTAGGCCCCACCTGCTAGTTCACCCACCCCTCCCCTGCTTCCCAAGAGCAGTGGGCCACACACTGAGGTTTGGGACACTGAGGGGTCTGAGTGACACATGCAGCGACTCTGACAGGTACTTCCGATGTCTGAATCTTGTTTGGAAAACGGACATAATAATAACAGCTAAGGTTTTTGGTGCTTATGGTGGTATTTTATCTATCTCACTTCATTTTCATAGACTCCTGGGAGGTAGGAGTTAAAATATACGTAACATGCTCAAAGTCACAAACCTAGGCATATCACAGCAAAGACCTGAGCCAACCTGACCCAACTTCAAATCTTCAGTCTCTCCCTAGCAGTATAAGAAACTGCCATAGAATTGCATTAGGACACAGGAACCCAACACCATGGGTACATGGCTGATACCAGGTAAACAGTAGTTGCTATTAGTAGAATTCACATTATGGTATCACTTTCAAGTACCCCTGGCAAAAGGCCTATTGGTTCATCAGGGATCCCCACTTAGCAGATGGGGAAACTAAGGCTCATGGCCCCAGCCCCAACAAGGGCACCAGTGAAGGTGAGGGAGGCCCAAGGGCTCACCTTGACATCCTGCTCCAGACCACGGATGAGCTCGCCATCCACCTGGCCAGTCTGGGCAGCACGGAGGCTGCGGCGCTCAGCTTTGCGAAGCCGGTACTGTAGAATACGGCAGGTCTTGCTGGCCTGGTCCAGTTGCTGCCGCAGCTCCTGCAACTGGTACACATCCTCCTCCATGTAGACATCCCTCATCTCTAGCATCTCAGCCCGAAGCTCCTCAATCTCATCCTGTGGAAAAGAAAGTAGTTACATCACTGGGTCCTATGGTACAGGCCAGGTGCCTGAGTGCCTGCCACACCCAATGCTGAGCCCGCACAGAGGGTCCTGGATGTAGCAGGCTGAATAACAGATGGTCATACCCACTTTCACAACTGTGACTGTGTCACTTCACACTGCAAAAGGGACTTCGCAGACATGACTGAGTTAAGGGCCTTGCCAGAAGATTATATGGACTTATAAGAAAGTGTTTAAAAAACGATTTTTACTGTAAAAAAGACACATTGCTATAATTCTCCTCTCTTCAAACACACTGAAGCTATCACTCTTGCCAATTTCTGAAAGTTACAGAAGTCCTTTTTCATGAATGTCTTTATGAATTATGATTTTAAAAACACAATGAATGCTACTGCTGAGTGCCATCCAAAGGACAGGCAGACCTGTAAAAACATTATGCTGTGTCTTCATTCACTTTATTTATTGGATCTGGTGCCATGAGACCTCTGGCTCTACCCCAAAGTCAAAACAACCATGAAAAGTGAACGTTTTAAATCAATTCAGGACATCAAGGCAGCCATGACAAAGCAACTAAAGACACTCAGGAAAGAACGTCCAGAACGGCTTCGGAGAGTGGCAAGAGCAATGGCGTAAGGCATTTGAAGCAAAGGCAACTATTTTGCCGGGGGGGTTAATGACATTGTGCTCTTTGGTATAATGAATTTTTAAAAATGTAAACACATTTCTCCATGTTGGATTCTGTGGGTGGGTCCAATGTAATCACAAAGATCCTCATAAGAGGAAGGCACGTGAGAGGAGGCCACATGAGCGTGGAAGCTAAGGAAGTGGAATCTGCGCAGATGGAGGAAGGGCCACGAGCTAATGACTGCAGGCTGCCTCCAGAAGCTGGAAAGCAGGGCAAGGAAATTCGCCAAGAGCCTTCATAAGGAATAAAGTCACCAGCCCTTGATTCTCAAATTTCTAACTCCCAGAACTGGAAGGTAACCTGTAGGGAGGCCGCTGTTAATCAATGGTTTGGATCTGAAATGTCACCCAAATGCCATGAATTAAAGATTTGGTCACTGTAGCCTATGGTTCCACTGGAAGTTGGCAGAACCTTCAGGAAGAGGGGCCCAGTGGCAGTCAGGTCACTGAGGGGTGTGCCCTTGAAGGGGAGATTGGGATAATGGCCTCTCCGGAGCCCCTCTTTTCCCTTCCTAACCATTATGAAGTGAGCAGCCTCCGAAGCTACAATGTCTTGCTTTGCCACAAGCTCAGTGATGGATTTAAGCAACAGACCAAAACTGTAAACCAAATAAATCTTTCCTTTTAACTTTATTCTCTCAGATATCCCGTCACAGTGATCAACAGCCGACTCACACAGCTACTCAATTTGTGATTAGTTATACCAGCAGTAGGAAAACGAATGCACACTCCACAATGACGAGTGCTATGTACTAGGTCCTGTGCTAAGCACAGGAATATGGAGGGACAGTTGGAAAGCAGCCCTTCTAAGTCTTCTGACCTGAGACTCACTGGGCAAACACACAAGAAATAAAAAAATAAAAATAAAAAGTCCAGATACTGTTAAGTGCCACAGAAGAAGCAAAAATAAAATTAAAGACATAGCAGTATGGGTAACATGAAGGAGTGACCGGAAGGAACTATGCTGGGGGACATGTCACAGAGCCCACCTCTAAAGAGGGAGCGTGTAAGTGAGGCACGAAGAAACAGCCATGCAGAGAGAGCCAGGAAGAGACTATTACAGGCAAAGAGAACAGTGTGTGCAAGGGCTCAGAGGCAGGAAAGAACTCAGTAAGCTGAGATACACACAGCGAGGACGCCAAGGCAGCCACGGCTGTCATGAGGAAACCAGGCAGGAGTCGTCACACAGGGACCTGCAGAGCTGAGTAATCTGGGTTTGGGTTTTCAGCGTATGTGTGGTGGGGTGAGCTCACTTCCTCTGCCACCAGCTCCCAGCTACCCCTCACTTCTCCTTTGCAGTGATTCACACATCTGCAATTCTTTAAAGTTTATCTCCCAGTGACTGTGAGATATTGGAAGGCCGCTCTACCTGCCCAGTCCCCCACAACCTGCATACGCCTTAGCAGCCTGCAGGTTCCCAACCACGATTAACTGAATGAATGAATGAATGCAGGCATGCTGGTTAGGTGAAAGACAGAAAGAGAGAGGAACCAAGGTAAAATGGTCATCAGACACCCCATGTAAGAGGGGAGAAGAAATGCACAGCTATTAGCTCATAACAGGTCAAAACCAAGGCCCAAGTGAGAATCATAATGCTTAGCCAAGTGTGGCTGACTGGCTTAAATAAGACTGACTGTACATTAAAAATAGAAACTGAGCCTGAAGGGATGAGGACTTGCTAGAGAAAGCACCCAAGGGTGACACCGATGGAACCAGGACATGGGGTAGGGGGTAGAGAAACCACTCTGGAGAGGAGGCCAGACCTAGAGGCCCCAACTGGTCGGGTCTCCTTCCCCAAAGAAAACAGGTACCATACCTGTAATTACAGCACTTTGGAGGCTGAGGCAGAGGCAGGAAGATAGCAAGTTTAAGGGCCATCTAGACCACATGTGGTCTGTCTCAAATACAAAACAAGGCCTCAGATTCTTTGCTCCTTTTTTTTTTTTTTTTTTTTGGTCTTTTTCCTTTTTATCAGTACAGGGAATCGAACTCATGACTGCCTGCTTTCAAGGCAGGCGCTTATGCCGTTGAGCTAAATCCCCAGCCCCAGATTCTTTGCTCCTTAAGCTAGCTCCCCCTACGAACAAGGGATGTCCCTACTCTTGGCTGTCCCCACATCTCTTGCCCTAGGCTTAGTGGACTGAAGGTTGGGGAGGAAACAAGCACGGGGGAGCCACCTTCACACTTGTCCGCAGGGCAAGGGCAGGTGTGGTCCAGGGAGTCGGCCTGGAGGTTTCCTTAGGGAAAGGAAAGGCCTGGGGTGTAATTTGGAGACAGGGTTCAGCGGTGGCCTGTAGGCCATTTCTTGGTGGTATGAAAGCTGACCAAACTCTGCACACTCATCTGCTTGCCTCCTGGGACCATTTCTCAGACAGATCTACACCCAGGAGAGGAAGACAGAGGTGACAAATAACTACTTCTCACAACCCCATGGATGCTGTCTCACTACATTGTCAATGAAAAGGTTTTGTCCCTACTGGCCTCTCTCCTGGGGGTGCACCCAGCAGCACCCCCAAGGAGGATGATTCTGCCTGTCAGGAGCAGAGTCACCGCACTGAGATCCCCCCACACCATTTCCAAATACACACAGACTCCCACCCCACACCTGGACAGACCAGAAGTGGAAAAGAAGGAAGTGACCCCATCATCGCACATCAGCTGGGGAAATGAGGAAGTGAGGGGACCGGAGTAAGGCAGCACCCAGGAAGTACAAGCGGAAGGCTAAGTTCAAGCCAACCTGGGCCACCGGGCCTGTGTTCAAATCCCAGCCGTGCCACTTAAGACTGTCTCACTTACCCTCCTCCAGTCAGACTGGTGGGTCTGCAACTGGGGAGGATGTGGTTGTCTGAGTGGGCCTCAGGCTCAGGCTGAGCCCAAGGGAAAAGCAAGTAACATACAAGGTCATCATGCTAGGCTGTAGTAACGCCTCCTCACAGGCTTCAACCAGGTGGTACCTGCATGACAGGCCTATCAGGCAGCTTGTACCACCCACTGGGACTACCCTATGCCATCCAAAGGGACATGCAAATTACAGCCCCACTGTGAACTGTTAACAGATATATGACATTTAGCTTACAAAGGTCACCTCTCTCCATGTAGGATCACATTTAGAGTACTGGTGTCATTTTGGGGAACTGGATATTTCAGTAACTGATTTTTCTTTTTTCTTTTATGTGTATGGTGTTGAGGGCTGAATTCCAGGGCCTCATGCATGCAAGGTAAGCATGCTACCACTGAGCTACATCTCCAGTCCAGTACCTGATTTTTCTATTTATGAAAGTAAAACATGAAAATAAATAAATAATAGCTGGGTGTGGTGGCGCACTCCTGAAATCCCAGCACTCAGGAGGCTGAGGCATAAGTTCAAGATCAGCCTGGGCTACAAGGTGAGCTCAAGGCCAGCCTGAACTGCACAGGGAGACCCTGTCTTAAAAAGACAAAAAAAAAAAAAAAAAAAAAAAAAAGGAAAGTCAAGCATGATCATTGAGATAGTTTTGAAAACATATATACATATATCACACATAATTCCTGCACCTAGTCCTAAATCATAGTGGCTCTCAAACTGTGAACCCTAAAGTAGCATCAGTATCACTCGGGAACTTGCTAGAAATTCTCATGCTTCAATCTAGACCTACTGAATCAGAAACCCCAAGGGATTTCTATCTTTTTTTTTTTTTTTTTTTTTTTTTTTTTCCCTAAAAGGGCAAGAGTCCCATCTCTCAGCACAAGTCCCCCCTCCCAAGGCCGAACACAGGCAGGATCTCAACAAGCATCTACTGAAGCAGTGAATGAATCAATGGTCTCTGTACATGAGCAGCTGTCTCCCTAACGCCTGCTTGTCACTACAGTCCATTTTTGACAAATAGGCTGCTACAGCCACGTCAGTCTTTCCTAGGATGGGCAGGGGCGGGGGACCCTCTGGGGAGGCGGGACTATCCCAGCTGCAGGCAGAATGCGGGCCAGTCCCTCCTGGCACAGGCCCACATGAGAGGATGAGTTGACAAAAGCGAGCTTGTGGCCTGCACAGGCGTCTGCTGAGACGTGGGCAGCAGAAGCTGGCAACCACAAGCCTGAGGTGGGGGCAGGGGAAGGGGTTGCAGGGCAAGGGGTGCATCCCCAGAGGGCAGGACCCTGTTCAATAGCTAATGCTCCGAATCCACACTGAGCCCAGGAATCCTCCAAAGTGCTCAGTCCTGCAGCCAGGCTTCACCCCAAGGAAGCTCTTGAGTGACAGATCTGACTGAGAGAGTTGGGGGGGTGGGTTCTGCTGGAGATGAGGGGAGTGCAGGCTGCCCAGCCGGTTCATAAGC